GTGCCTGCCCCTCCCCCTCCCCAGGCTGCTCACCAGGTTCTTGGGCACTCGCTCATCCTTCATCCAGGCCCGCAGGTTCCTGAGGGCCAAGTTTATCTCCCCCTGGCTGATGCTGATCTCGGACACCTCTGACTCAAAGGCCGACTGCGGGGAGGGGCAGGGGCAGGGCAGGGGCCCAGGGCCGGGGTCAGCAGGTGGCCAGAGCCCCAGGGAGGGCACAGCCACTAGGCAAGGCCTGCTCTTATTTGCTCATTCAGTCATCCTCTCATGTTCGATGAGAGCTTATGGTGCGCAGTTGCTGTTCTTGAGCCAAGGATGCAGCAGTGGCCGAAACAGACAGAAAACCTGCCCTGTGGAGCTGCCATTGCAGGGGACAGTCAACGTGATAATGACAACACTGACTGTAACATTAGCATGAGACAGTGCAATGGATAGAGACTGCTGGAGTGTGTGTGTGAGTGAGCAAGCGTGTGTGTGCATGCGAGGGCACGAGTGGTGTGTGTAAGAGTGAGTGTGTGAATGTGCAAGTGTATGTATGTGTTCGCTCTCTTTTATACAAGATGGTCAGTGCCAGGCTCTGGGATAAGGTTACATTTGTGCAGTGAAGAAAGGGGGGGAGGGAGCCCATGAATATACGGAGGCAGAATATTCTAGGCAGTGGTCCCAGCACATGCAAAGGCCCTGAGGTGGGCACAGGGCCTGCTATGTCCCTGATTAGCCAGGAGCAGAGTGGGCAAGGTGATGGGGCCACACAGCCGGGGTGAGGACTGTCAAGCAGAGTAGGCACAGGATTGAGCTTAAATTTTAACAGGATTGTTTGTGTCCCACTGTGGCCTGCTGTGTAGATATCAGTCTTCAGGGGACACTGGGGACAGGCATCCTGGGATAAATGCCATCAGTTCCCACAGCCTAGGAGCCAGGCATCACTGTCGGATTTCCAGGGCAGGAGGGAGGAGGGAAATCGGTAGGGACATTGTCCTGATCTTGGTCTCCACATGCCTGTCCCACCCCCTCCAGGAAGGTAAGAGACCCAGGCAGCATGAGGCCCATGGTTGGGGACACCAGAGCCACGTTGTCCTGATGCCTGAGACCTGGTCATCACAGCATAAGCCCTCCCCCACTAGAGGGCAGGGCAATGGTCCAAGGGTGCTGGGACGGTTTGAGCGTGAACTGAAGCCAGAGACTGGGATGCCCTGCTCAAGGTCACTCAGCAAGCCATTGGCAAGGCCAGGGCCAGAGCTGAGCCCTGAGAGAAAGGGTGCTGGGACCTTGGGGGAGGGAGCCACACCCACCAGCGCTCCCAGGAGCTTCGAGCGGTTGGAGCCTGCTTTCCCTCCCCCTGTGTGCTCAGCCCGTGCTCCTGCCCAGCAAGCTGTGGCCTGACCACTGCACCTGGTGAGTCACCTATGGCCCTAGTGAGGTTTGGGCTGGTTTAAGGACAGTCTGGACCCACCTGAAAGCCGTAATTTTGGAAGAATGGGCTGTTTTGAGCTAGGGCTGTGTGTTCTCTCTGAGCTGCCTCTGGGGGTGACTGAGTGTGGCCACCCCACCTGAAAGGCCCGTTGGGGTTAAATGAAAGGATTCATGCAGACAGAGCAGGGCAGGTGCCACATGCTGGGAGGACTGGGGACGAGTTTGCAAAACCAGAAGGAGGGACTGGATAGATTTTCTGGGCCACTGCTCCTTTTGTGGGGCTGGGTTCCTGGCACCTTGAGGAGCTGGGATGGGAGGTGGAATGAAACCTGAGCCTGAAGGAGAAAAGGGACCAGACACAGTTGGCTCAGGTCTCCCGTGGAAGGGCAGCTGGGCCAGCAGGTGAATGGTGGCAGAGGCTCAGTGGGGGTGCCACTCCCCACGGGGAAGCAAAGCCAGCCCCTCGAACTGGGGAGAGCAAAGGAGAATGGTCGGAAGCTCTGGTTTCATAAATGGGACAACAGATAATTCCAGAAAGGGCTGATATCAGGGAGGGCTTGGGTATCACCTGGCTCCGATAGTGGTAGAGAAGGTATGGGGACACTGAGAAAGGGAACAGGTGTTACCAGGAGGCCATATCCTCAGGACAAATCTTCACCAGCCTTTGCTACCCTGTGGAATGGGGGCACCTCATCCACGACTCCAGGTGCTATGAGGCACTAGTGTTGAAGTTTGTGACTGTTCCAGGGACAGGGCCGGCATTTGGCTGGGAGCCTTTGGATAGGGCGGGTCCCGGGGAGCCGGGGAGGCTGCTGGGGGACCCCTGACCCTGAGTGGAGACGCTGACCCACTGGAAAAGTGGGGGAAGGGAGGGGCAGCTTGTGGCTGGCTGACCCTGGAGGGGCTGACCCGCAGGCCCAGCGCAGCAAGGGGTGGACCCCAGGCGTCAATGTAGAGTCCCGTGTGTGGGCTCAGGAGGCCCTAGGCCCTTCCCAGGACACGCTCAGGGCTCAGGGCTAAGATAAGCTCAGTACTCAACACAAGCCAACATGGGACTGTTCCTGTCCCCTGGGAACAGGAGGTGACCACAAAGGCTGGCCAGCAGCAGACATGCACTGTGGGCCCCTCCCAGTTGTTAAGTATCAAAATAGCACCTCGCCAGTGAACAAAGAGCCCCAGGCCTGGCCCCCGAGGCTCCAGGTGGAGAGGGGTGGATGGGACAAAAGGAAGGGTCTGGACACTGTGGCTTTGCATAGGAGACATTTTTCCAGAGGACCTGCTGGACAGCGTCCAGGGGCAGCCAGCAGGAGGGTCCTGTCAGCTGAGGAGGTGGGGGGCTGCTACGGGAAAGTGCGTTTCTGGGGGTCCTGCCACGGCTGCTGCTGGAATTGGGAGGGGCTGAGCCCCCGGCTTCCAGGGTTTGCACAGAGGCCGTGATGTCCACTGTACCAAGGGAAGTGAAGTCCCTCAGCCTGTGAGGTCCTGCATAGTGTGGCCTGCCTCTCTGTACCTCGTCTTTTGTATATCTCTCCTCCCATTCCAGCCATGCTGGCCTCCTTGCTGCTCCTCAAGCATAAACACGGCAAGCACCTCCTGCCCCAGGGCCTTTGCACATGCTGTGCCTGCTGCTGTTTCCCCCAGTATCCATGTGGACCCTTCCCCCTCCTCCTTTATATCTCTGCTTAGATGCCACCGTCTCAGAGAAACCTTCCCTGATCCCCAATACAGAGCAGCGCCCTGATCCTGGCCGTCTATCGCTCCTTTCACACCAGGAGTCTCTCCATTGCACTTACTACCATCAACATGCAATGTGATTACTTATTTACTGTCATGTTTTTTCAGAAGGCCAGCTTGCTGGGCACAGGGACTTTGTTTTATTTTCTGTTGCATCCCCAGATCCCAGAACAGTACCTGGTACACAGTAGGTGCTCAATAAATGGTTGAGTAAAGGAAGAAATGAATGAATGGAGAAGAGTGGGTTATGGCACAGGGCAGGGACTGGACTTGGACAGGCTTTAGGTTTCATTTCATGGCGGATGCAGCTGTCCCCATGCCCA